ATGAAACACGTAAGTAAGTAAATACATACTTGCATATATATTATACTAATGTGTGTGTCGCCGAGATGTATAGGATTGGTTTTCTTGCTTCTCTTGGAACACGATCCTCAAGCATGACTAATATTACGATCAGATAGAATTGTTAATACCTGCTTGCTACTAAGCATGCAAAACTAAGACTTAAAGTACTCCGACACTATAGAAGAACTTCGTGAGTCGAATTGCTACTCACGAAGATGTGTATTTTCAAGCTATGTATCTTCTTGTACAATCACCAACTTCAACATCATCGTTAACTTTCTAAAGCAAAAAAAACTAACCCTTTAACAAATAGACAATTCGCGCCGAATTATTTTTAATAAAAATCCTAAACCACGATAGCGCACACTTTCGTTTAGTTCAAAAAAAAATCTAATTTCTAATTTCTAGAAAAACTGTACACACAATTTTCTTTTTTGTTAGGACAAAAGTATTCTTTTCAAACGAATCAAAAAAAAAATGTTCAAAGGCGGCGCAGAGCAATTCGATTATCTTCCAATTGAAGATAGTTATTTGGTTCGAGCAAGAAACGATACGAAAGGTTGATAGGTAGGAAGCAATTTACACCTCTTTTCGGTTGGGTGCGAGGGTCTAACTAAAAAAAGAGAGCTTCTGAAAGACCATTAAAGGCTGAGTCTACGGAATATAAAAGAAGAATAAAAAGAAATTAAAAAAAAAACCGTAAAAAGAAACGTTCTTATTTCGTCCAATGGTCAAACTTTATTTCTGTGTCTTTTGAAGATATTAGAGAATCTCTGGGACACATCCAGAAAACATACTACATATTATGTCTCTCTTTTTGAATCTATCTATGTAAGTAAATACATTCTCAATGCATATACCAAGAGTGAAGAGAAATCGTACTAATTGCACTAACGAGACTGGTCTAACACAGAAAGTGCATACAAGCTTTCTATTGCTCGATCAAAGTTAACCGAGTATGACATCTGTCCCTTATGTCTATCCTTTCTAACAGACACAATATCTTACGTGAAACATTAATCCTAAACTCGTCGTATTTAGAAGACAAAATAAAGAATGAAGGAAGGAAGGAAGGAAGGAAGGAAGGCTTCTTACTTAGCCGGTTTCACCGATGACGACGGCCGTTCTCGCGCCATGAGAATCATACATCATCGCCTTGGTGACAGCCACGAGAGAATAACGAGAGAAGGAGAGAGAAACAGAAAGAGAGGAAGAAAAAGAGGGACGTTCTTCTTAGCAACCAAAAAGTTCTCTCAGAGAAGCAAGAACGAGACAGACGGAAACAAAGCAAACCATACTATTAGAATTTATATTAAAATCTAAAACAGTAATGATCATTTATTTTATTTAAAAAAGGATTATCCACAACGAACGATAATTATATACCAATTATAATTGGTCCAAGTTCAACAGGTAATTAGGACCCTCAAAATGATCTAAAATTATTTAAACGCTCCGGGTTCTATCATTTTATTGTAGGACATTTATTTTGTACAAAAATTACCAATCATCAATTACCAAAAAACAAAAAAAAACTTTACCTCAATTTATATATTATAAAAATAAAATACATGCATGCTATACGAATTTTTAGCTGATACTGAAGACTTTTTAGGCATTCTAATACTGCTTTCTATTTTTTTTACTATTTCAAATCTTCGAACTCAATTTACTCAATTTCGGGATCATTGAATATTGTAACTTTTTTTGCTCGAATTTGTTGAGAAATCAAATAACAAATTTGGAACTGGTAGTGTAGAATTTTAATCAATTTTGATCAATTAAAAGGGTCTACGAAAAGGCAGATGTGCCATGAGTCGATATTTTAAAATCACTTGGTTGTTCCTCCACTCGACTCGAGTCGAACGTGATCGCGATACATTTATCCATGCTAAACGTTCCGCTCTACTCCACCTACGTATAACATACATCGAGGAAAAAATTGTTCGAAGTATTACTCATAGCATATCGGAAGTTGCTAGACATTTTTTTCTTCTTCATCATCATCTATTTTTTTTTTTCTTTTCATTCAATAAGGTTATATTCTTTGTATAATATATAATAGTTTATGAAAAGTGATCACGTATCATCGATTATCGTTCGGCAAAGAATCGAAGATAGTAATTATAAACGAGGAATTTACATATGTGTGTGTGTATATATATGTGTGAATGTGTATAAATGTAAAGGTGGGTTGTCTAAGATCGGAGAGCACCGTGGGCGGGCGAATTGTGATCCTTCTTAAAGATCACCCTCCCTTATTATAAGTACCCTTCTTTGTAAAAGACGATATGCTATTGCGAGTTCTCCAAAAGTCCTTGAAAATTTGTAGGAAGATATCGCGCGCGGGTGGTCTCGCTTATAGTTCCCTTCCTCCCCCTTTTTTTCAAAGTATAATACATACTTTAAGGTATATGCAAATGGGTAGGTTGATAAGTTTGGAATAATCTTAACAACCAAAAAATAAACTTATTAATTTTGTATTCAATATATAAAAATCGACACGAACATTTTTTACGGGCAACTCAATACTTTTTTTATATATATATATATATTTCGATTAGAAATTATTAAGTATTTTTTCACATCTTACAATTCAATTTAAAAATCAGTTTGACCAAACGAATAAAAATATTATATTTGTGTTAGGTTGACAGTTATTCATCCCATTCAGATATTTATGCTCTTACTTATTGTTAGATATTCGTTAATCCTAATCGATTTTTTTTCAAGGAAGCTGTAATTTGTATAAACGACACAAATTTGAAAGAAAAATTCTATTTATGTGTATACACGCGTGTGATACATGCAGAACGGAAATAAGAATTCTATTTAAAGAAGGAGAAAAAAATACGAAAGAAAATCCTTCAGGATTGATTCATTCTCAATATATTCAACAAAAAAAAGGATCCGTGAAAGGCCCATCCTGAACAATTACACGGATGTACCGAGTATTGGTTTGTAAATGCTTTCCTAGCTATTGTATACTTATAACAATGCAAACACTATCAAAGGAATAGAACCTGCGAAGAAACTTTATTTCCTTTTTTATTCCTTTCTTCTTCTTTCGGAAACCCGAATAAACCAGAATGAATGTGAACGCATCTATTACTGGTCTACTAAAAATTTAATCCAGAAAATATCGAAAAACGTTAGCAATCCTTTAACAACAATCTCCATTTAAGAAAAAAAACCCGAGTATCTACAATTCGATTTAAACTTTTAGAAATTCGAAAGACACGAAAAAACATCGTCACGCCTCCGACCGAATTTGGTCAGGTATCAAACTTTCTCTTTTGTACTTTTTTTTCTACGTAAAAATGTTTCAAACAAAAAGCTACGTGTTTATGAATGTAAACAGAAAAAAAAAACCGAACAAAATACTTCGATTTTCTTTCTGATCGAAATTTAAGCCCGCTCACGTTTGCTTCAAGAATTTTCTTTCGCGTTTCTATTATCGAAATCTTCTTTTTATTCATCCCTTTCCCTAATCCCGAATTTCTAGAACAACGTATTATATATACATGTGTGCATGCGTGTATATTCTAAAAGTTTGAAGAATTTTATTTAAATTGTTCACCTTTGTATGATAAGGAAATGAATGAATTCCGAAGAATTCAATTTTATCTTATCTGCATTTATTGCAAAATCGATGATGCACATAATGATAAATAAGAATACAAAGGTATTTATTATTACTATTATCTGTGTATAGTTTAGAAGCAAAAAATATGGATCGTGGAAAAATCGTGACGTTGGATACCGTGTGTTCTATAAATAAAATTTTCGTTTGATCGATGTTTAAGAAGGTATCTTAAAAACGCAAATAAACAGTGTTTTATCACGGAGCTTGGATATTATAAGACAGGAAAGTGGAAGCATCTGTTTTCAAACTTTGGAATATCTTCTTACGTCAATGGACGTTATTAATAATTTTTAAAATATGAATACATACAAACGGAGTGTTTTGTAACTGCAGGAGGAAAGTAACATTAGTCAAAAATGTAAAATAAAATTTTGTTCGCATAAATTTTTATTATTAAGAAAAATAATGTTTACGAATATATATATTTGTCGAGTATGTACTTGTACACTTGACTGAGCTTGCAAGCTAAAAGCCTTGTTCGATAAGTATAAGAGTAGAACCGATAAAAGAGATATTATTATACTAATAATGTTTGTGAACATATTAAGAAGCACAAAAATGTTCTCCGAAATATCCGAAAGTAAGATAAAGAAATCCATCAAGCTGAAACTAAATCGAGTGCATGTGTACTCAACAAATTTTTCAACGTATTTTTCTCGAAAACAAAACCTTATATTAACAAATTTTATTCTACACATTTTCGACTTATTGTTAGTTTTTTTTTTTTATATAGAATCACCTCCTGCTCCATTTGTACTACCAATTATAGGACACCCTGTGTATATATAGAAAGAGAGAGAGAGAGAGAGAAAGATATGTTAGAAAATATAAAGAAATCGAGAGCGTAAAAGAGGGATATACAGAGAGTTCAGCAATCCGAATCGCCTATGAGAATTCATCGTTACAAGCTATGTTATAATTCCAAGCATCGCGTGGTTAAGTATAATGCTGCTACTCCGTACTTCCGATACCGTTTCTACGGAACATATCGCTTAACGTCATCGCTCTGCATTTTCGTTTTCCGTTTCTCGGAGGAACGACCCTATGAGGAATGCTTTTCCTGCCCGTTGTCATTAAATATGAAATCAATCATTAATAATAATAATCATCAAATAATTACAGAAATAATCTATGTAAACATCAATTATCCATGTTCACTTTGTAGAATAATTATGATCAAATTAAATAATAAATGGTCCGTTAGCCAATATAACAAACATGATCAAGGGACTGACAATAAGATGCAAATATGTAAATCGTTTTTAAACAAATTCGTTGACATATATAAAAAATCATAACGTAATAAATAAAAACAATAAAACGGTGTACTCACTTTGACAGTAAATGCCGCTGGCGAAGATCAACAGCGTCAAAACGAATCCAGTAATCATCTTGATGGTGAATTGAAATCCAAAGTATACCAGAAAGTCTTTTCTTCAAATTTAAAAATTAGAAATCGTTGAAGGATGAGTGTAACTCGAAACGTAGTTTAAAATATTCTATCTATGTACGAGATAAGCACACCGGAGTGGGGTGCATCGAATACGTATTTTTCCAAGAAATTTCGATTAACGAATAGTCTATTGAAACTTTTTAATTTTCTTGAAGAAGATCGGTTCTGTTATTTTAATCTCTCTTCGACGAGCGTGAAGTCTCTCTCTGTTTCTCTCTCTCTCTCTCTCTCTCTCTCTCTCTCTCTCTCTTCCTCTTCCTTCTTTTCTTCTTTCCTCTGCCTCCTGTTTCTTCGGATAACGCACGGTGAATCGGAGCGTGTAGCACTTTCCACCGTGAATTTTATCGCGAACCGTCCGGTACACCGTTCCGCGCTCTACCGGTCAACCGGTCAACGTTTTCTTCGCCTTTTCTCGAAATCTTCGACTTATCTAATTCTTATTTTATTCCATACAAAAATATCTCCTATTATCCTTTCAAAATAATTTCACGTACAAATTGATCTTTAAGATTTCCTTAACACTCGATCTTTCTTTCTTTTCTCTATAACCATTTAATTGTTCAAATTTGACGCATGTGTGAATAAATACAAAAAAAAAAAAAACGAAAATAAAATATAAAAAATCAACTCAAACGTATATTCGAATGAACAAAAATTGAAATTATTTTGATCTAAATTGATCTAGCAGTTTATTCGTATACTAACTAGAAGCAAAATCAAAATGACAGACGATTACAGGGATGACAATTCGTATCGATAAATAATTCGCGGCGTGCGTGCGAAGTAGAGACCAGCGTCAGTAGAATAGCGATCCGCTTCCAACGGCGGCTCGCAAGCGAATACCGCTGAACACGACGTTCTTCCGAGTTCCGTGCTGCCGGTATAGGTGCGCTCTTTCCCCACCATTCAACTCCAGCAGCCGAATCATACTACTCCCACTCTTGGGTAACTACCGCACACGAGACACCATCAGTCGCCGCCAAGGCGAGCATCTCGGAAGGAGTGTAGTCATTCTCGACCCTCCATTGAGTTTCCTCTTCGTATTTTCTTTACCCTCTTCATCCCCACACACAGATACACACGTATACATTATTATCGTGCACGTAAAGATTTCGAATAAGAAACTTGGTAATCGTATCGACAGCATCGATGTTCAAACTTCAAGAAAATAAATCTTCCGATAAATTGTCTTTCTCTCTCTCTCTCTCTGAAATAATAATAAAATAAAAAAAGCTGAATATTAATCTCGTCCGCTTTTGAAAACAAAATATCGTTATTTGTTCGTCCATGAAAATTTTGAATATGATGTTAATAAATAATTCCGAAATTATACATGTTGTGTAGTAAAGATCGATGAATGAATGAAAGAATGAATGAATGAATTGAATGAATGAATGAACACTCGACGGCGCATGCGCCACATACGAGATTCCATTCCCATTCCAATACCAGTCCCGCTTCCATTCTTTTATTCTTTAACACAGTGCGGCATGTCTGGTGAATGCACAACAGGAGTAGAATCCGTAAAAAGGTTTGTTCTACGGACCACTGACGACGTTCTTATGTCAGATATTGTGTTTATTCACTGATCGATTTTAAAATGAATCGTCTCTAATTCGAAGAACTTTCTTACATCGAATTGATTATATTCTGTTTTTATTATATTCGATTTATATTCTAAAATTTTCATGATAGTTGAAATTAGCAATTGTAATTTCAATTCTGAAATTATATAAAAGAAAAATATATGAAAGTATACAATTACACTTATTTGGATTTACCATAATCTTTTTCAAAACAAAAGAACCAAACTTAAGTTTTTAATCTTTTTTCAAAACACCTATCCTAAGGTTCCATCTAAAAAAAATCTTCAAAAACGCACCTTTTTAATATGCAGCTAACGTAGACAGATAGGACGCCGCAAACGGGACTCAGAAACTCGTTTTACTTAGCAACTCACTGTTTTGTCAATGAAATAGCATCGTGCGTTTTCTTAGAAAAAAAAAAAATCTTTCTCGCAGCAGGATACAGTGATTGCACTTCTTCGACCGGTACATCAATGTTATCGCTTGATTTGATCTTTCTGCAAAGTAATCATACTTTTTCCTTACAACAAGAGATTAAAAACAAAAGAAACAGTTGATAAAATGCGTACAGTAATTAAGATGACATTGATTGTGAATAAAATTTTCGAGATAATTAATCGTAAGATATAAATAAAAAACTTAGTATCTTCATTTGATTATGAAGAATTTGTTGTCATCCAATTAAAGGAACGTTAAAGAAAAATAATCAAAAGATTAAACTTACAATTTATGCATTAACATCGCGTATGTATCTTGTTTGCGCGTCATCGAGTCTTAAGATAATGACTTAAATCGCCTTAAAACAAACAACTTGATAATCTTGATTTAAGAAGACTCGGATCCCACCTCACGCAGGCATAGCATGCATCTGCTGTATACGCCAAGCCCTTATCTGAATCGCTTAAACGCCCTCTGGCGCCCATTAAGTCCACAGGAATGAAATAATCAGCTCGAGCCAATTCGGGACCAATTATGCGCGTGCCGGAATGAGGTACCCTTACAAAGGGCTCCGAAGTTCAAGATTGATGTAGGTAGGTATACTTAGGTATATATATATAGGTAGTAGGCCAAGACCCAATTCATGGATTCATGGGATCCACCTGGTCGTATTTTCTCATTACCATCGTACCGTAGTAACGAAGGGTAGTCACGTGGTAAGCGCAGAACCATGTTTTCTCGATCGTTATTATAATTATTATCAAATGTATCATTAACAATAAATTTCATCTTTATTTTCTTAAACACATTTTTCTCATTACCAAAGTATATACTAGAATATACTAGAAAGTCGAGAAATATTATTTCCTTTAAAATTTTCACACCAAATAAACAGGAGGACAAAATTGAAATCGAGACGATTGTAGAAATGTAATAGGAACAATTATACGATCATTCCTCTACGAGCATTTTAATGGCTAAGTATATCCTGTTAAAAGTTATATTCATTAATTAACAGGATCTCTGCGTGGCTCTTAATTGAGATGTAACTCGCTAAGAATCGTTGCGATTAGCATACGACGAGCCTGCTTCGCTGCTTGTTCTCTTGGTCCCACGTAAATTCTGTCGTTTAAACTGGTTCGTACGGTCACTTCTCGAATAGATCAATGTTAACTAAATATTATTCTGCGATTTCGCTGATCGATTATGTAAATGATCAGAAAGAGAATAAACAGAATGAGAGAGAAAGTATTTAGATGTTCTGTGTTACGGGTTTTAGAAACGCCGAATTATTAATGGTAACGACCAAAAACGTATAGTTTTACTCTTTCCATCCTGTTACCCTGTTAAACGTGCGCGCACGTATCCCTTGATATCTGCGCAACTACTATTCCGCGGGCTTGCAGGTTTTATGTTCGAGACAAACGTCGTAACAACATTTCTCTTTACTTTGGCATTGATCATCTTCATCGCAAAGCATGGGCGCATCATACCAATCATAAGATCGTGAACAATGCGATCTCAATGGTGGACAACGTTTCATCATTTTCTTTTTCATCTCCCACGATGAATGTGTTAAATGCGGCCAATACGATTCTCCAAAATTAAACCAAAACCATGGTATTGAAAAAGATTGCCACATTGGTTCCTTCGACATTTCACTTTTCTCATTATTACAGCAGTAATATCGAAGATCTTGCGTTCTGCACCAATATCGGCAAGATTTCGTTTCTCCAACGTAGTAACAAGCAATTAAAAGAAATAATACAATTTTGAGTATTCCATCGTCTGGCCACATATTATTCATTCTGGAAAATAATTGTGTAAAAATAAACAAGTTATTGATATTATGTTAATTGAGAATAGATGGATGCTTAATCTTTTTTCGATAATTGATGGATATTTCAAATGTCGTTTTACCGAACGAAAAAATTAGACATTTTTTTAGCAGGTATTTGGCATCGTGAACCCATACTTTTTTAACTATACTGTAACTAGAGATTCGCATCTTGAAATGAACAACCAAATTATTATAATAATAAATAAATATGTATCGATTTTTTGTTTCGTTTTTCTTTTTTCGGTAAAACGACTTTTAGGATACCCTGTATATCAAATATGACGAAGAACTTACCTAAGAGGAAAGATGTGACCGACTGTTTACACTTATGGTTACGCGCGGCTTCTTATATCTCGAACTAAAGAAACAGAGTTATTGTAATTATATTTATAAACATAAGTGACAGTAAAAACATATTGGCCATTAGTTAATCCTATGACATACAATCCATTCGTACTACAAATTTGCAATAAGAGAAATTCTACGAAAGCCACGGGAAATTTTTATTTTGTTTCCTGAAATTGCATGAGTGACAGTAAATAGATGTAGCACACATCACCGACCGATGAATCTACGGACTATTGACAGTTTTACAGGTAATAAACTTATCTTTTAATGTTTCTCAAAGTAAATCTGTTATAAAATGTTAATTGGTTACTGTGTAACATCCACAGACGTACTCCATTTCTTTTTTCTCTATTTTCTTGTTTAATTTTTTAATAACACTAACCGCGTTCTTCGTTCTTATTTTTTATTTTCCAACATTATATTTTATTATGCGTTAAAATGTAACATCTAATATTTTAAAACATTATATGGTGATTAATCATTTATTATATAAACGAACAATTAATATATTTTTCTTTATAATTATAAATTAAATTTTATTATATTCGAATGTGTAATTTGCATACTCCATACTGACTTTTAGTTCTACGCCGGTAGGCGTAGGTGGTGCTGCAGGTTATGCGCTTGCAGCGCATACTCCCGCTACACGCTATAGCGGACTGAAAAATAACAGATCTGCACATTCGTCCACGTGACTTTAAAACATTTAGTAGTGTTTCGTTTAAGAGGTTATATTTTGAAAATATTATATTAAAGAAATATTATCGTTAAATGAGCAAAGAATTTATAATTGGAAAAATAAATCTTTAAAAATATTTAAATAAGAATTACAGATAAATCATTTGTCTTAAATTATAATTTTATCAACATGGAGAAGAAAGAACAATTTGATGAATTTTTGGGTGGAACAGAATCATTGCCCATTGATGTTTCTATTATGAAATTAGCTAAGGCGAGGGCTGGTGAAATTTTATCAATGACTCATTCACTAGGTAAGCGAACATTTTGTTTATTTTTATAGTACAGGTAACCCCTGAAAAGCACGTGTACTTGAAGAACACGGATACCTTCTACCGAATTATACGGTTTCAAACTACACGATTTTCGGGTGATTCTTTTGAAATTTAAAAAATCACGTCTATGATTTTTCAATTCCACTCCATTTTAATTGAAATAAATGCTCATTACATACACATTATTTACAAATATATATGTTTTTTCAAAGAACACGGAACCAATTAAACGTGTTCTTCGAGGGTTACCTATATTTTTTTACATCGTAAGGATGACCAGTAATAATGTCTTTAAAAAATAAATATTTACGCTTTCTTTTACCAAATAAATTTGACCTCTAATATAATATATATAATGTTAATATAATCAAAAATTTTTTTTTCTTATCCAAAATTATTTAATATTATTACTAAGTTTAATTCTTAGGGATGTTATTTTTTTGGACAGGTTTAAATTAGATGAACAATATATTTATCCGTTGAACGTTTCGTCCCTGTTTGGGACTTCCTCAGCAACTAAAATTTTTTTATTATAACATATTATTGCTTATACAAATACAAAAAACTTACAATTAATAGCGTTATTTTACCTTGATAGTTATGTTCATAAGTCAATATMACATCATTTTTATTACAGTCATAGGTTTTCACTATCTTATATATAGAGTCAATTTTTAAAACCGTTATCCTACCATAACTTTTCGAACACTACTAGTTACCTCTAAGCTGGTGTTTCCTAATCTAGATGTCTTTGTTATTATTGTAACCTCTGTTATGTGTCTTGTTATGGTAATTAAATTTTAAAATTTCGTTATATGTGCTATTTAGATTATTAGTATCGGTTCTAAAATTAACTGTATTATTGTTCGTTCTATGGTACATGGGTAATCCAGCGAGCCCAGTACTAGCAAATAATAATCTAATTTAAACCTGTCCAAAAAAATAACATCTCTAAGAATTAAACTTAGTAATAATATATATAACATATAAATATAATATATAATTACGTTAATCATTTTATTGTTATCTGTAGAAAATCCTCGACAAACAAAATTGATTTTTCAAAAGCTTCCCATACATATGCGTAGACGAGTTATGTCACATAATGCGAAAAGATTACCAAGAAAATTACGGGAAGCGCATATAAGTCAAATGGGTAAATCTGGTTTTCCTCCGAAAAGCAAAAGGCCTTCACGTAAATATCGTAGACGTCCATCTAATTTACTTCTGGAATACAATAAAAGACAACGAAATAAAATTTGGCTAGAAACTCATATTTGGCACGCCAAACGATTTCATATGATTGAACAGTGGGGATGTAAAATCGCTAATTTTGCAAATGATAAATGCTTTAAAGCTAATTTTCGGGCCATTATAAAACATTGTTTGATACAAGATCTTTCTTATTACTCTTGTATAGAAATCATTGGACCGGAAGATATTTTAAAAGAAACTTTGAGATCGCATTGCAATCCAACCACATTAACGTTTGCTGCTAAAATGTACATTAATGGTACAAGAGAAGGTACTGTAATGTTTTTCAAAAAAAATAGTTTTCCACTATATCCCATAGGGAACGTACACTTTCTATGGAGGCCCAATTGCTACAATCATAGAACTATCTGGATTTGGGTTCACCCATCTTTTTATGATGACATTTTGACTAATATTATATCCAGTTTTAATTTTAATCCTTGTATAACCAAAAATGGAGAATCAACATCGTCGAATCAGTTACAAAATTCTTATATCAATGAAAATAATTGTCAAATGAATTTATTGAAAGGCACTTTAAATAGATTTAGACTGTGTGGTCCATTGGCACTAAATGTTTTAACAAATTCGCTTAAATTACTTGATATGAACAAAAATTTATTAACAACAGAAGATAAATCAAAAAAAGATTATGAAGATGTTACAGAAAATAAAAAGGATATCCATATCATTACTGATTCATGGTATAAAGATTATTATGATGATCAAGAAAATTGTAAAGCTTTCAAAATCCAAAAGCAATTATGGCAAGCATTGCAATCAATAGACACACCTAATCAATTACCACCAAATATGGTCTTTGGACTGACTGTTCTAGATCCACGTTTTTATTTACCTGGAAAAAGAACAAAACCAGAGAAACTGACGACACATTTTGAAAATATATATTATCCACCAGATCATGTTAATAATAGTCCAATATGGGATAAAAATTTGCGTGAGAGAATTAGTAAATCATGCGTGTCTACTGGTTTAATTAACAAATTAAGAAGCAGCAATCTGGTTCCTGGTGTAAGCAATGATAATCTTTTTAAAGAAGATATAATGGCCAAAATTCCCATACTCGTTATTCAGAATCCTGGAGGTTATATCAGAGGTTTGTTCAAGTTTCATTAAAGATATATTTTAATAATATTTAACTTTTCATTAATATGAACTTTTATTTATAGCTTTAGGATCAGGTTTTGACATTATCATGCCATCAAGATGGGCAATGCCATTCTGGCTTGGTTTCATTCTTCGTTGTGCAAGAGTCGGAGCATTAAGAGAGTCGAAATTAATAGCATTAGAAAGTCTAGATACAAATTCACCGGATATTAATGAACCCGATACACCTGCCTACAAAAAAGAAGCTCTTATTACAAAAGATGAATTGGAAAAGAAATATTTTCAATATCCACCTAACAGACGAGTTAATTTTATAAAATTTGCTATTTCTAGTCCTTTCTATTGTCAATGGAATATATTAATGAAAGAATGGTCAGGGAAAGAAGATTTCTATATTTTAAGAAACCGAACCACGTTAACGCAATTACAAATGAATTTTTCTTCCTTTAAATCAAAAAAACGTAAGGTTCCTGCTTCTAAAATTAATTTAGATAATGGATTAAATAGCGAAAATTGTTTAATACGTGTCAGAATATCTACTGTAAATAAGGGCTGTCTAAGAACGTTTGCGATAATATGCGAACCAACTGATTTAGATTTAAAAGAATTGAACAACAATAAACGTTGGTCGGGACCGGTAGAAAAATTAAATAAAGATCCAAATGAAAGTAGACGAAAAATTTTACGGAAGAATCATTTGTTATTGTTAAAACGATATAGAAAACAAAGAATACGTTATAGAAAGATGTTAGAGAACAAAATAAGTAATACGTTTGAAGAAATTATCAAAGGAACGAACTATGTAGTTGAAATAAAAAATTTAAGACAGAAGTTATTGAATAGAAGTCGTAAAGCTGTATTGGAACATTCTCAAATAATGTCTAAACTTTATTTACCGGATTGTAAAGAAGTTAGAAAATCATGCGACAGAGAAGTAATAGGATATATAACGCAAGGACACTTTTCCCTTTCCATAGGCCAAACAGTTGGGATAGGATATGTTACAATACAATCTATAATAGCAATGATCAACAGAAAAAGTGATATTGTTCTTGTTAGAAATAACCGTACAAGAAAATACAGATGTGCTCGTTTAGAAATATTATTCGATTAGTCTTTTAATAATAAAATAAAATGTGTATTAAATTTATGTAAATATTATATGAAACTAGTAACAGTCATTTTTCATTTGTATCTATAAAACATGTTGTCATGCGTCATTTCTTGAGAATAAAAAATTTTTATTGCACCATCGTTTAATTATTTTCACAATGCCATAATCATTGTATTAGATAAGGATCGCTATCGGTATAAATAGTAAACAAAGTACTTAATAATTATTCTTTATTTTTATCGTAAACGTTCTCTATACTTTGAGTAATTCTAAAAAATTATCAACTCGTTAAGTATTTAACAAGATTAATTTAATACAACGACGCCATATTTATTGATTTACTGATAGGTTATACTTTCTAACAGACGTAGAATCATGGAACGCATCGCCGTAGTACGTATCAAAATTCAATAATATTAATATATTTAATATTTTAAAAAGAAATTACACTATAATATATATTTATAAGTGTAGGTAACTGGTGGAAACAAAGGTATCGGTTTTGCAATTGTCAAAGGACTTTGTAAGCAATTTGATGGAATAGTTTATTTAACTGCACGAGATGAACAACGTGGTTTAAATGCAGTTAAAGAATTAGAAAGTGAAGGATTAAAGCCAAAATTTTATCAACTTGATATTACCGATGATAACAGTATCAATAATTTTCGCGATTACTTGCAAAAAGAACACAATGGGTTGGATATATTGGTTAATAACGCAGCAATTGCTTTCAAGGTATGAAAGTCATTGTTAAATAATTTTTCTTTTTTTAGATGTTTTTTCCTTTAAAGTAAAATCTTACAATCAATTTTTGTAATACAGACAAATGCAACTGAACCTTTTGGACAGCAAGCGGAAGAAACTGTAAGGGTCAATTACTTTAGTTTGAGGAAAGTATGCGACAAACTTTATCCATTACTGAGACCACATGGTCGTGTTGTACATGTGTCCAGTAGTGCTGGTCGTCTGTTAAATCTAAACGGTGAATCATTAAAAAAGAAATTATCTAACCCGAAACTAACGGAAGAGGAATTGGATAATCTTATGCATGAATTTGTTGAGTAAGTTATAAATAATTTTTTCTAATTCTAAAATAATATTCTAATAATGCTTTCCTATATATATCTATCCATTAATGTATCTTGTAGATCAGCAAAAAAGGGTACTCATTTGGAAAAAGGTTGGTCCAATTCAGCTTATGTTGCCAGTAAGGTAGCTGTTTCTGCTTTAGCAGGCATACATCAAGCTAAATTTAATAATGATTCCCGTAAAGACATAGCAGTAAATGCGGTACATCCTGGTTATGTGGATACAGATATGACTAGTCATAAAGGAGATCTTAAACCTGATCAGGGTGCAGAAGCTCCAATTTATTGCGCATTGCTACCAAATAACACTGAAATAAAAGGAAAATATCTGTGGTACGACAAAACTCTAGCAGACTGGCAAAAGGCTTAAAATATAAACTGCACAATTGTATTATCGTTTCAATAAGTAAAGAAATAGACCTATATATGAACGATAAAATACACACTGCACTGTATGTTATTATACAAATATAACGTCTATATTTTTGTATAAAAAATGATAAATAGTTAACAGTATTATCTTGTTGCAAAAAATTAGTTCTTATTCGATCACTTAGTCAAGCAACGATGAGCACAATTATTATTTGAATTAATGATTGTTTTGGAATACTGCGTGCTGTAGATACCAGACAGGTATTTTCAGAGCTGTAGGAAGGAATTATCAAGGTCCCTCAAACCCATATAAAAGAGGGAATGAAAAATAATGTTAACACACTAACTGCATTCTTGATTGAATAAGTTTATAATTGCAAAAATAACATTTTTAAGTATATCTTTTATAACTGTTTTTGTACATGAAAAGATAATACATGGCAAAGAAAACCTAAATACATGCGATAACCATACATTCAAATTATTAAAGTAATTGATGTCTTTGATATAGTTTGTATAAAATGTATCTATAAAATAATAGTATATTTCATTTGAAAAACATATCATCTTGTTTGTACGGCTGCTTCTTTACGAGCTGCATCCTGTAATAGTTGTGTATCAACTTCATCGCCAGGTAATTGTACATATCTTACTACTGATCCACGAATAAAACAGTTTTTTACTGATAGCTGAAATTTAATTCATCAATGCAATTAATTAAGCAACAATTGAAATAAAATATCATTAATTAATGTTTCGTACCATGTGAGGATACTTGTCTGGATCTGTTACACTTATATCGGTTAATTTAATATTTAGATATTGATCAACAGAATGTAAAGTTCCACAAATGCTGCAAATGTATTTAGTAGTAACATTATATTTTGTTATTGTTAGGTTAGAAAGAATAAATTGAAATAAATATTACCTCAGATCATTTTTTAATTCCACAACTACATCTTTTCCAATCAAGGATTTGAAAAATGAGTAGAACAACTAAAATATAAAATATAATATATATATAAATATAAATCTATATTTATATTTTTATTTATATTAAAGCACGAACTTACCATTTTTCTTTACGATAAATAATATCAAATGTACATAAATTAATATTAAATCGTTTATTTATTTTATTATAAATTAATACTTATTGTTTAAAAGAAAAAATCAATACATTAGAACGAAATCATTATCATGACGTCTCAAAAGTGAGGTTAGATTAATGATGCCGGTGTAATATTTTTTGTACACTTTCGACAGGGCTGCAAACCTTACAAAACAGGCACTTTTATTTTCGTAAATTGATTTGCAATAAATTTGTGCAAGTAGAGCTATTTTTTGCTCGATTACATCAGCATGTGATAAAAAAGTGAGTGCACATGAACATGATAACATTTTTGGACATAATAAGATTTTAATTTAATTTATTCAATATTTATATTTTTATATTTTCCCAAAAATAAATAATCGATCAATTATATTTATCGTATATTAATTTATAAAATAAATATTCTTGTGCATTAAATGCAAGATATATTTGTTATATAAATAATATTACGTTATAATAAAAAATATAAACATGTTCAAAAATTTTTAACATTTGAACCAGGTAGTTTATATGACTAATTAGTACGCCAGAAAGCCACTAGAGGTGCAGTTGATATTACGATTCAATTTTTATAAACTTCAACATTTGTACTTGGCGGCATAGTATTAAAGGGATAACATGGGTACCTAAATAAAAAAACATAAAGAAATAGTTTCGCCGATATTTATTTAATAATGTTGTTACTTTGATCTACCGACCGACTGGTATACTTTTGAAACGAACGGTAAGTTTTGTCGACATGATAACATTACTAATTTTATTCAAGGTTATGTGTAACAAATTTTCGTTTGTTTTACATGCTTATTGAACAAATTGGAACAATTTGATTATCTTATAAATTTTATATTTAATTTGCTATAATAATATTGTCAATATATTATTGTTGTGTGTATGTGTGCTTAAAATGTTCATTTTTAATTTGCTATGTTAAAACATTGTATATAATTTTATCATTTTTTATTTATGTATTGAAATCTAAGATTATTTTATTCTTTTTGTTATTAATTAGGTGTAACATTTGAATGCTTAGCTATATATAGTTTAAATTTTTAAGTAAGAACTACGTATCCGAAATTATTTGGATATCGTATTTGAAATAATTATAGTAATTGAGTAATGTTATTTAACGTGACTTATATAAGTTTTATCTTTTTCTACAAGTAAATACGTATAGAATATATAATAAAGAATCAAAAATAGGATGAAAAAACTGCATTATAATAATGATAATTTTATAACTTATGGAAGTTAATGAATTAACATTATATAATTATATACAATATATATCATAATGATGTAAAAAAATACTAACTTCGTATGAGAAGAATTTTCTTTAAACATAACTTTAAAAATAACGTTTAATGCCTACTAGATAAGTTCAATAATTATCAACTGATAAAATATATTTCTAGCAAAAGTTACTAAATATGGATTAACAACTAAGTGAGTGGTAATTATAATAATAATCTATCGACAAAATTCGTCATGACTTAGTTTCCAACCCAATACGTCTATTTATATTTGAGCCGTTTATTTTGAAAGTGGTATAAGACACTTTTTCGAAAAAATCGAATAATTACTATTGAACGGTATCTTTTTATTTACAAAAAAAAAGAAAAAAAAGAATTTCTTATGCCATTTTAAAAATAAACGAGTCATTTGTAATATCTCTTAGTTTTTACCGCAAAATTTTATCAACATATCATATAAGTAAAAATACAAAAAATATTATATATACATGTTATAAAACTTTTGTTATAAAAAATTATAACGAAATGCTTTTTTGTTCGATAGCTATTCGAATAGATTGTTGATTCAAATTATAATTCCATTTAAAAATGTTGCCCATTATAAATGCAGGTCTGATATTTACAGAGAACAGAATTTATTTTATTACTAATTTTTTCTCATTTTCAATAATTACAACAAATACATCATAAGTCGTTTGTGCATTCATTCCTGACACGTAATAATTTATTTCTGATAAACATCTTATTTCACTATGCTCGACAAGTAATCATCCATTGATGCGATCTCTGGTGATCTTGGAAGCAAAGAATTGGTCATCTCTGATCTATCCATTGTTAGGGATAATGGTAATTTGATTATTGCCGTACTAGTATTGCATAATGTACAGGATAACTATTTAATTATAGGACGAGCGCCTCCATGCCAAATACTTAAATAGGCATTCGTGAAGAGATTGGACGATGGGCCCTGGATAGCTCAATGGATAAAGAGTAGTCGCCCAGAAAGCGGGAGATCCGGGTTCGAGTCCCCGGGTCCAGTCAGTCCAACGGCCCAATTTTTTTCACGAATCCTACGATTGGATCTATAAATATTGTCAAAATAATAATAAAATATCTTTTATTAATTCTGGCTGTAATTCATTTGGTAGGATCTTTTGAAACAACTTTATTTGACAGTTTTTTAAACAATTTTTTTAAAAGTTTTTTAAACAGTTTTTTAAAAAGTTTGTTTAACAGTATTTCTTTTTTACAATTTATTCTTCGGTAAAATGTGAGGCTTAAATATGTTATCATTGCATATTCAAATAAACATTTATAATGGATTTTGATGCTGTGTCGATAAAACACTAGCTCGTTATTATTTTGTATTTTTGTTATAAATTTTTAATAAAGCTTGTAAGAGCTTGTGTTATATAACAGTTTTTCTTATTTTTACTTATAGTATATGTTGGTAAAATTTTGCAGGAAAGAAACTGAGACTTTTTTTATATACGAGGATGGGTTCAATAAAAACAAAAATACTTGTATTTTTGATATAAATATTAGTTTGACTGAAAAAAATTTGTTCAATGTTAGGCTCAAAAAACTTTTCAATTCACCTACGTATATACAGGGTCTTTCGCCTAACTCGACCATCTAAAATATCTCGCTTACTTCGTACGATAGAAAAAAATGTCAAAGTAAAAATTCGGCTTGTTACTATATAGGCGCCTTCGAACAGAATATTTTTTTCATCTATCATTGTTTTCTATCGTACGAAATAAACAAGATATTTTGGGTGGTCGAGTTAAGGGTATATAGAAGAAGTGTAGTAAGTATACGTATCTATTAATTGCCATAAACTTTAAATATTATCTTTCTCGTTCGAACGGTTTTACGTATTATGCGCAGACGTCCGGTTGCTAATTTTTATTTATTAAGAATAATTTTGTGTAATAATTCGATTGGTATTTTCAAATTATTCAAATTATCTTATCTTCAAATTTATATTTTTTATTTTATTAGTTACTTACTTTTATTTAAAAAGGAAGAGGAATTAATTAGTATATGTGTCATGCCTATTTCTCCTAGAGCTACTTTCTTTTTTTCCCCCAACAAAGAATCATTTAATGTAACTTTAAATTACAATCACGCAATGTACCATTGAATAACGAATTTGATTGAGCAAGAATAAAACAATTATAATAAAGATGCACGGCTCGCGAAGACATAGCAGACAACTACTAGCCTTTTTTGTATTTCAAATAGTTCCGGGAAAAATAATCACTTTGATAAAAAGTTGTACTTATCTTTATTTATATTCTTTTTTATCAATATTTATTAGCATATTATGTCTACAGAATGCTATTTTTGTTATTAATAAATATGACTTTTTTTAATGCGAAAAAATTATATGCAAAACCAGTAATAAAAAATCAAGAAACTAAATATTTTTTATAAAATTTAATTATTTTTTGTTTATTTCGAGATAACAATAAAATATATTCCTTAGTAAAATTGAGAAATAATTTATTGTGATCATAGAAGTTGTCAAAGCTAATAATGTAGAAATTTAAAAATATATTATCAAATCGTTACTTTCATATAGTAACAGGTATACCTATTCTAAAATTAGTAGAAAGGAAGGCATATATACAAATGTGAACTTTATGTTCTTTCATAAATGTGACTCGATTGGACTTACACCAATTTAAATTTTTATTTGGATTTCTTTAAAATAATTTTTTGTAGTTAATATCTCGAAGTAAATTTAAATTAATTGGTTTTAATCTATTTGATCGTTAAAAATAAAAAAATATAATTAATATACTGATACGTCGTATCAGTCAAATTAAGAAAATTTCCGAGAAGGGAGATAAAAATAATTTATTTATAAAATTTATTTAAAAGATTAACTAGATCATTTGTTCATTAATTGGCCAACTCTAATTATTTTGTTTATAGATGTGATACAAAAATTTGATTTACAGCGGATTAAAGTATAATTTAAGTTTTTAAATATTTTTATGATTTTATCACATGAATTTTCTAAAAATAAATTTTTATGATTATTACAGAAATTGTTGACTATAATTGAGTAAGTTACTTTCGGTCGAGCTTTTCTGCTCTTTCACGATTTCTCTTTTCACTCATCGTTGGTTTTCCAAACAAAAGCACGGAAATCACGTTAACGTAAACTTTCGGATGGATTTAGATTATTTTAGAACGACAACAGGATCCTTTTATTGTGAATTTCTCGAAAGAATCATTTTAAGAGAGAAAGAGAGAAGGAAGGAATTACTTAAAAATATTTTGCATTCAGAAAATTGTACGTTATTCGATTTCTAGTCTAATTTAGATTGTGAAGTTTCATTTAAAGAGAGGGAAAGCACGAGAAATTATTGCACGATTATTATTATAAAAAAAAAAAAATATTTAAGTAATACAATAGAGAGATCACACGTTTAAGCACGCATAAATGTTATTAATAAATTTATCTTGCATTTAAAAGAAGTTTTGCTCCAATTACTTTATTGATATATACAATAAATTGATAATAATTTTTTTTTTTTTTTTTTTTTTTTTTTTTTGACGAAATTTAATGAGATATAGTTAATCGCTTTTATGTTACACGTAATTTGACACGAAAAACGTGTTTATTATAATTCAAACAATAAGTTTCACATAAGATAGAGACAGACAGAGAAAGGTGCATTTACATATGTGTTTGACTATGACCTTCATATATCTTTTTTTCGTTTGAGTTATTAATATTTCTAATCACGTTAATTAACATTCGATTATTTTTTGTTCTTTTTACAAACATTTAAAAAAATGATAATTTTTAACTTGAATGATCAGCTTTATATGATCAATAGATGGATAGATAAATAAATAAAACGTTCCATAGTTTTTATATAACTTTTGTTTTT